AAATTCAGTTCCATTATCACTCCTAACACTAGTTATAGAGTAACCTTTTTCGTTTTGGATTACTTTTGAAAACGTGATGAATTTTTCTAATGCTTCATCTTTAGTACTTAAGAATAGAACCCAAGTATATCTAGAATAGTTATCTACCAAGACAAATGCATATTATTTTCCACCCAAGCTAGTAGTTCTAGATAGCCCAAAAAGATCTAAATGGATCAATTGCAATACTCTACTAGTTAATACATCATTAATGGATTTAAAAGAAACTCGCTTTTGTTTTCCTTTAGCACAAGAAACACAGATTTTATCATTATCAAATTTAGTTTAGGTAGCCTTCGAACCAAATCTCCTTGAATTAACCGTTGCAAGACACTCATACTAGCATGTTCTAGTCTCCTATGCCATAACCAACTATCATGCTAATCCTTAGCAACTAGGCATAAATTAGTCATATCTATAGAGTCTAAATGCACCATGTATATGTTTCCTATTCTATGACCAAGAAGCATAATCCGATTAGATGCAATGTCAATAACTTTACAACCATTAGTTTCAAATATGACATTGAATCCTTTATCACAAAATTGACTAATGCTCAAAAGATTATGCTTTAATCCATTCACATATAAAACATTTCTAATTTGTACGGAAGAGGTATTACCTATTGTACATATACCTTCGATGTAACCTTTTGAATTATCACCAAAAGTCACTTCTCCTCTATTTTTGGCGTTAAGCTCTATGAACCGACTTTTGTCTTCGCTCATGTGTCTTGAGCATCCACTATCAAGGTACCATGAGTTTGAATTTGTTTCCCGTGCCTTGTAGCAATGCTCCTTTTCCAACAAACATAGATTAATTTCTAATTTTTGGTACCCAAATTCTTTTGGGTCCATATTCATTAGTTTTCAAAATCCTAGTCTCCTTAGGTATCCATTTGTGTAGGATATCCTTATCTTTAGTAGTAATGAGCTCTTTAGGAACCATATACTTCTAATGATTTTTCCATTAGAGGTTCTTCGGGGACCTTTATGATTGTAGTTTTTAAAACTTTTTCTAACATAGTTGGATTTTGAATTTTCTCCATTTTCAAAACGTTTTGTTCCAACTTTATTAAAAGAAGTTTTAAGATCATCAATATTCTTTTGATGATCATCATTGACCTTTGAAAGTAAATTTTGCAAATCCAAATTTTTATTTTCAAACTCTTCTAGTTTGATTTGCAAATCTTTGATTTTACTTTCAAGATCGTTATTGGTTTTGGATATGAGTTTATTTTCATTTTTTAATTTTGAAACATCATTTTTATATTTTAAAAACAATTTCTCATAATCCGAAGCCAACCCATTATATTCCTCTAATAGCTCATCATAAGATAAATCATCAAAATCAGATGAATTAGAGGTTACCTTAGAATCTTCCCCGAATGCCATTAAGCACAAGTTTGCTACTTCTTATTCCTCTTTATCGGAACCTTCTTCGTCGCTCCATGTAGCCACATGAGCCTTGTGCTTATTCTTTGATTGACCCTTTCTCTTCAATTGTGGGCAATCATATTTGACATGCCCCGGCTTTTTGCATTCATAGCAAATGATCGTGTCCTTCTCTTTTAGTTCATTTTTGAAACCTTTATTTCGTTTGAATTTTCTTCCTCTATAAGGTCTCATCATTTTTCTGAACCATTTAGCAAACAATGAAATTTCCTCTTTATCGTCATCTTCATCCGAATCACTCTCATCTTTTGTGGATTTGAGAGTAATTCCAATGTTTTTCTTCTTCTTCTTCTCCTTCTCATTTGGTGTCGTATCAATCTTATCGAGGTCTCATCTTCAAGCATCATTTCATGAGTGAGAAGAGAACCGATTAGCTCTTCAAGAGTTATTGACTATAGGTTCTTAGCCTTGATGATTGTCGTCTTCTTGGATTGCCATGATTTTGGAAGTGAGTAAACTAACTTCCTCACAAGCTTTTCTTTTGGAATGATCTCTCTATATGATTTGAGACCATTGACAATCGTTGAGAATCTATCCGTCATAGATTTGATATCTTCATTTGGTTTCATCTTGAAATTTTCAAAGCTATGTGTTAGAAGACTAATTTTAGATTCTTTTACCTCGTTGGTGCCTTCATGAGTGACATGTAGTTTATCCCATATTTCTTTGGCGGTTGTACAAGATGAAACTCTTCCATATTCATCTGGTCCAAGAGCACAAAATATGATATGGATGGCTTTGGAGTTGAGCTGGAACATTCTTGTCTCTCCTTCACTCCACAATCTTGGATGAGGGAGAAGCTTGATATATCCGTCTTCTACAACATTCCATGCTCCCATGTCACTGCTTGAATGAAATACATCATCTTATTCTTCCAATAGGCATAGTTAGCTCCATTGAAGAAAGGAGGCTTGTTGACGGGCATCAAATTGAGACCGGAGTCGACGTTTGAAATGGAGGCCATTGATGACTTTGATTATCGATGTAACTCTTCCCGAATCGACTCAAGAGGCGGTTAAACCTTCAAATGAGTTAGGCTCTGATACCCATTGTTGAGTTAATCGATAGATGGAATCGACCAAGAGGGGGTTGAATTGGCAATTAAAATTTTGGTGGAAGCTTTTGCAGAAAATTGAAAGTAATTGCACATCGATTTAGAGTGGTTCGACTTTGTCAACCAAAGTTTACATCCACTACCTTAGCTATCCACACTAAGGATTTTCCACAGATTCACTAATTTGTCTTTCTTTTGAGGATAAAGAGTAACCTTGCAAATCCCTCAAGAATTATACCCCAAATTCTTGAGAACACTCTCTCCCAAAGAGAACAATACAAATTTTGCAAACTTACAAGAGAATCCTCACAAGGCAAGATGTTTGCACAATTCTAGAACAAAGAAAGAACACTCAAGAATAATACAATTGAGCACAATAAGTGTTCTTGAAAGCAAAAATGAATATTGAATGAAATAGGCTTGAAAATGCTCAAACTTGAGGTTTGATGCTTTTTCTTTGATTCTCTCTTGATTCTTGATGATTTTTGTTTCTTGTTGTTGATCAATGGCTTCTAAGCTTGTTTAAATACACCTTCAAATGATTCTGAACGTTGGGGATGATTAGTGGAGTCAATAGAGCCGTTTTAGTGTGAAATCAATTAATAAAACAGCTTGGAGCGTGGGGAGAATCAGTACCCCCTCATGGGAAATCGGTTCCCTAAGTATAAAATTCAAATATTTCGACCGTTGAACAGGGGGAATCGGTACCCCCTTGGGGGGGAATAGGTTCCCTCCGAGCATTCTGTTTTTCTCGGAGCCAAACCATTCAGGGGGAATCAATACCCCCTTGGGGGGGAATCGGTTCCCCCTAAGCAATCTGGAATTTTTGGCTTTGAAATGGTTCGAAATATTTTGTAAAATTGTTTTGAAATTATTTTAAGTTTAAAACTTAATTTTACACTTGAGTAAGAATTAAAAATGACATTTGAAAGATTTGGAGTAATATTTTGATATTCGAATAATTATATCGAATATACTTAGAAAATCTTTTGGAAAATCTTAAAATTTATTTATCTTAATTTGTTATATCGAAATATCAAAATGTTTTCAACAATTTGAATCTCTTGTAATCTTGTGAACAGTCATACTTGTTACTACAACAAAGGTTACCTTATTTGCTACTTGCTCCGTCTCATAATTTATGTTTTATATGGATTATGCACATAGTTTTATAAGGTATATTTGATCAAGGGAAGCGACAAAGTTATCCTTGAAATGTGATTGATAGATTTAACTGATTTACTTTGATAAGTGTAAAAAAGTGAGACATATAAAAGTAAAAAAAATATATAAGTGTTCTTATTTGTTTACTTTTTCTAATGAGACATTTTAAATGACATAAATTTTAAAATCAAAAGATCACTTTTAATGGGATAAATAGAATAATAACTTGACATATTTAAAATTAAATAAGTTACATTATATAATTCATCAAATAACTTTAATGATAAAAATATTAATTTTTAAAAATTAAATATAAATAATTATATCTGCAAAAACATATATTTTGTCAATACCTAAACTTTTTTTTGCACGTAATTAATTTATATTATTAAAAATTAGATTGTATAAATAAATTCTTCATCAATTCCCGTGCTTATTCTGTTCGTTTTACGTCATAAATTATATCTAATTTTAATATTTTATACTATAATGTCAATATAAATTATCGAACTTCATCCACCATGACAAATGATAAGCTTGGAGTCCCAGAAACAAAAAGAGAAGGCTGCTACAATCTTGGCTGCCATTTTTTAAATGAATATATCTAATATATTAAAAGGAGTTTTGACAAAATCAAAATTCATATATTGAGTTTGAAGGAAGAATTTGGTACTTTTGCGAAAACAAAGTCTTCTCGGACCTAACTGGTCTTATTTTCTTAATCAAATTTTAATTTCAATGACGAATTTCGTGAGATTAAAGTTTTATTAAATTGTTGTTATTATTGAAACATCTTGAAGTTTGAGCAGGATGAACGATCTGAACATGATATAACCTGGCTTTGAATTTTCAAGAATCAAGTTGGCTACTTTTATATAAATAAGAAAAGGCAAAAGCAAAAGAGTAGGAAGTGAAGAAAAATCAAACGTAATTCAAATGGGTTTCCAAAAGCAGGCCTTTATTTTGTTGTCAGTGCTTTTGTTTTTCAATTTCCTCATCTTCTCCACTGCTGATGACGTTTATTACGAATTCATAATAAGTTATTTTTAATAATTTTCTTTCTTTATTTTGTTTTCTTTATCTGATCGATATGGTTATAATTTGCAGTTGCGAGAAGCAGAGTTTACCAAGCTTTGCGAGACAAAAACCATCTTGACCATCAATGGCAGCTTTCCAGGGCCTGAGATTCGAGTCCGAAGAGACGATACTGTTTATGTCAATGTCCACAATCAAGCAAGATTTTCTGTTTATATCGATCCTTGAGCTAGTATTTATTTGAAATCTCGTTCATGGGTTATTGTTTTTTTTCTGGGAAAATTGATAGGGAGGGCATTGAGGATTCAATTAATGGAGCAAATGAGATTATTAGGCCTGGTAGAAACTTCACTTACGAGATTGAATTAGACGACGAAATCGGGACTTTATGGTGGCACGCTCGCAGTGCTTGGGCTAAAGCTACCGTCTATGGCGCCTTTGTCATTTTGCCGGCCACCGGTGAACGATATCCTTTTCCTGCACCCACTTCAGATCAAACAATTATACTTGGTAATATATGTGCTCTAAACAACTGTATTTTTGTTATATATAAATATATACACACTTGATGATTATGAATCTTAACAACTATTTGGTAAACTCCTCCTTTCAGGAGAATGTTTTAGACAAGAGTTGGCAGAAGGCAGTGTTCCCGGCCAAGCAGTTGGGTACACAATCAATGGTCATCTTTCAGAAGAATATGGCTGTAACGGTACATATCCGACACTCGAATCCGAATCCAACTAACATAATTTCGTCGTTAAGCTATTCATAATTTTTTTATTTGTTGCACAGATACACAATATCAGCTACAAGTGGACTACCAGGGTCTCTACCTTCTCCGTATAATAAATGCTGTCGCCAATGAATCAATGGTGTTCGCCATCGCACAACACAGCTTCACCGTCGTCGGACGAAACGCGGCATATGCCCGATGCTCATTCTTGAGTTCCCTTACATTAGCCCCAGGGCAGACGCTCGACATTTTGCTCAGCGCCAACCAAAACGTTGGTCAATATTATATCACTGCCCAGTCTTCCTCCCGTGGACTTAGTACGTCCGGAATTTTACACTATACCACCAGCACTGGTCTTTAGTTTAATTACTTGGGATTTTCGAACGTCATTGTTGGCTGTCATTGGTTTGTTTCTCGAATAAGACAAGCAGTAGGGAAAACCGCTATGTATAATGATATCAATGCCCTAATATTAAAATCCATGCTATCAGTGGACATAGTCATTGAAATGTTGTTTATCAGCTTTGATTTGTATTTGTTCTTTTGAAATTAATGTTTATTTTATATATTTTTTAATGTGATACTTAAAACGTTTATCATAATAATGATTTTAAGAATTTTTCGAGTGATTTTAGTGATAAAAAAACTGTTGTTTCCCTAAAAGTTATAAATCCCGATAGGTGTGTGTCTATAGGATGTTTGCGCGTTTATATATATATATTAAATTTTTAATTTTTTTTATTAAAATTAAAATTAAATAAATTATGTGCAGATCTCTTTTTATTAATCAAATACCGTTTAGGTATTTATCAATTCACCTTCATCTCTCAATTAAAAATATATTATTATTAAAATTTATATAATTTTACGATTACTAAAAATAAACTCGGTTGGAATTTAGGAAGATGAAATCCAGAAGTCGACCGGTATTAACCCTTTGAGTATATGATTCTGAGTGATATGGGAACAAGGAGAAGAGCATATGGTGAAAAGTGAAAACGTTAAGTATAAAAAGTGTTGGATCATAAACTTGATCCATTATGGGAGCCTAAACCCAAACCCAAACTAAATTGATGTCATTGCTTACATCAATTAGAAGAAGATGTCATTGTTTACATCAATTTAGTTAGGTGAGAGTTAGGTATTTGTAGATTTTAATGGTTTAAATTATTTTATTTGTGTGGTGTAGGATTGTTCTTGACTAGTATAAATACCCCTTCCCATTTTAGTTTAAGCATCAAGAAAAATTAAGAGCTTCTAAGTAAGTGAAGAAACAAAGTCTTATAAGAGTGAGTTGTAGTATCTTGTTTTTGAGTTAGAGTGCTCTTATAATATTTGTTTGATTTTCAATAAAAGTTGTTTGTGTGAGTGTTTCATTTCCAACAAAGTGTCATCAGAGAGAGTTGGAAAGATCGAAGGTATCGACGAGAGGAATCTGACGCCGCTAAAATCTTCCCAATTTGAGTTCTGACGCGCCGCCACGCACTGCCAGAAGACTGCTGCCAGAAGAGCGAGTTGACTCACGAGTTGAGTCGAGTCAGTCGAATTGGAGCCCTTTGACAGAGTTGTCCAAGTCCCTCCCTATGTTTTTCGGTGTTCCAGATTCATCCGTGCAATCGGATTTTGCAAATTCTCATTATATTGAGAGATATGACAAAGGGTATATCACCATTCCAAGTTCCGACACTCAACAACAATAACTACGATAACTGGAGTATCAAAATGAAGGCACTTCTTGGATCACAAGATGTGTGAGATATCATAGAGAAAGGCTATAACGAGCCTGCAAATGATGATGTTTTTGCTACTCTTACACCAGATCAAAAGACAACTTTGAAAGATTCAAGAAAGAGAGACAAGAAGGCTCTCTACCTCATCTATCAAGCATTAGATGATGATGGTTTTGAAAAGATATCGAGTGCAAGCTCTAGCAAGAAAGCATGGGAGAAGTTACAAACCTCTTATAAAGGATCTGAGCAAGTGAAGAAGGTCAGTCTCCAAACATTAAGAGGTGAATTCGAATCCTTACATATGAAAGCATCTGAGTCTATTTTAGATTATTTCTCAAGAGTAGTAGTTGTTTCTAATCAATTAAAAAGAAATGGTGAAAAGTTAGAAGATGTGAGGATAATAGAGAAGATACTTCGTTCGTTGGATCCCAAATTTGAGCACATCGTTATGACGATTGAAGAAACTAAAGACTTAGAAGAAATGACGATCGAACAATTCCAAGGATCATTGCAAGCATACGAAGAGAAGCATGAGAAGAAACATGGGTTTACTGAGCAACTCCTCAAGCTGTAACTCAAAGATATGCATGAAACACAACGCAATGATAGAAACCAACGTGGCCTAGGCAGAGGTAGAGGCCATGGACGAGGTGGAAGTCATGGACGTGGACGAGGCTGGAATTACAACAACAACAATTATGAGAAAGGAGAAAGCTCAACACGAGGCCGTGGAAGAATCAATCTAAACTCAAGATATGACAAATCTCAAGTTCGATGTTATAATTGTCAGAAGTTTGGGCATTATGCTTCAGAATGTAGAGCTCCCAACAACAAAATTGAGGAGAAGGCCAACTACGTGGAGGAAAAGATAGATGGAAAAGAAACTCTTCTTCTAGCACAAAAGGAAGCTGATGGTGGCCAAGCAAATTCCTGGTATCTTGACAGTGGTTCAAGCAATCATATGTGTGGAAAGAAATACATGTTCGTGGAGCTAGATGAGTCAGTAAGCGAAAATGTTTCGTTTAGAGATGATTTCACAATAGCAGTGAAGGAAGAGGTAACATCCTTATCCGTTTGAAAGATTGGAGACATCAATTTATTTCAAATGTCTACTAGGTGCCCAATATGAAAAGTAACATCTTAAGTTTAGGGCAACTGGTAAAGAAAGGTTATGATATTCATATGAATAATTATAATCTTTCTATAAAAGATGATAAGAATAAATTTATTGTTAAAGTGTCGATGTCAAAGAATAGAATGTTCTTGATCAACATACAAAATGATATTGCAAAGTGCCTGAAAGCTTACTACAAAGATGTATCATGACTTTGGCATCTTCGATTTGGGCATCTAAATTTTGGAGGTTTAGAGCTGCTATCTAAGAAGGATATGGTGAAGGGACTACCTCGTATCAACCATACTGACCAGCTTTGTGAAAGGTGTCTAGTCGGTAAATAATTTAGGAAAAGCTTTCCAAAGGAGTCAGAGACAATAGCCAAAAAGACACTTGATCTCATCCATACCGATGTGTGTTGACCGATTAAGCCAAGCTCTCTCGGTAACAGTAACTATTTTCTTCTTTTCATTGATGATTTTTCAAGAAAAACATGGGTATATTTCTTGAAACAGAAGTCAGAAGCTTTTGAAGCCTTCAAGAAGTTCAAAGCAGCAGTGGAGAGAGAAAACAGTAGAAAGATCAAAGCCATGAAATCCGATCGAGGTGGAGAATTTACTTCCAAGGAGTTTCAAGAGTTCTGTGAAGCAAATGGAATTCGTCGACCAATGACAGTTCTTAGATCCCCCAACAAAATGGTGTGGCAGAATGAAAGCACAGAATAATCCTCGACATGGCACGAAGCATGCTCAAAAGCAAGAAACTACCCAAGGAATTTTGGGCGGAAGCAATAATTCGTGCAGTCTACTTGTCAAACCGATCTCCAACAAGAAGTGCATGGGGAAAGACACCGCAAGAGGCATGGAGTGGAAGAAAGCTTACACTTCCCACTTGAGAATCTTTGGAAGTATAGCCCATGTTCATATACCAGACGAGAGAAGAACGAAGCTTGATGATAAAAGTGAGAGTTTTATCTTCATCGGCTATGATGCTAATTCGAAAGGCTACAAACTGTACAATCCAGACAATAAGAAGATTGTGATTAGTCGAGATGTGGTCTTCAATGAAGAAGGAGAATGAGATTTTAACTCTCATGCAGATGACTTCAATTTCTTTCCTCAGTTTGAAGAAGATGAGCAGACAATGAGGGAACAACTAGGTGAACCTCAACAAGAGCTTGAAACTCCACCCACTTCACCAACATCAACCACTCAAGGAGACTCATCACCTTCGTCATCGTCAAGTGAGAGTCAAAGTGAAAGAATTGTGCAACGTACAATAAGCCTTAGAGATCTCTATGAGGTAACTGAACGACAAGATAATATTACATTATTTGTCTGTTTGTCGATTGTGAACCAGTGAGCTTTCAAGAAGCAGTACAAGAAAAGAAATGGAGAGATGCGATGGACGAAGAAATCAAGGCCATCGATAAGAATGACACATGGGAACTTACCTCACTTCCCAAGGGACATAAAGCGATAGGTGTCAAATGAGTGTAAAAAACAAAGAAAAACACCAAAGGAGAGATTGAAAGGCACAAGGCGAGGCTAGTTGCTAAAGGCTATAGTCAAAAGTCTGGAATTGACTATGATGAGGTATTTACTCCTGTTGCTCGATTGGAGACTATCAGACTAATCATTTCTTTGGCAGCTCAAAAAAAGTGGAAGATATAGTAGATGGATGTAAAGTCTGCATTCCTAAATGGAGTTCTTGAAGAGGAAGTTTACATTAGCCAACCATCAGGCTACGAAGTCAAAGGGCACGAAGACAAGGTGTTGAAGTTGAAGAAGGCTCTTTACGGACTAAAACAAGCACCAAGGGCATGGAATAGACGAATCGACAAGTATTTCCAAGAGAATGGCTTCAACAAATGTCCCTACGAGCACGCTCTATATATCAAGATCAAATATGGAGATATTATGATCGTGTGTCTCTACGTGGACGATTTGATCTTCATTGGAAGCAACCCAAGCATGTTTAATGAATTCAAGGATGTGATGATGAAAGAATTCGAGATGATAGACATGGGGCTCATGGCGTACTACTTTGGCATTGAAGTTAAGCAACAAAATGATGGAATTTTCATTTCACAGGAAAGCTATGCAAAGGAGATACTGAAGAAGTTCAAGATGGAGAATTGTAAGCCAATAAGCACACCGACAGAATACGGGATCAAGAAGTCTAAACATGAAGAAGGCGAAAGTGTAGATCCAACATTCTTCAAAAGTTTGGTGGGAAATCTACGTTATCTAACTTGCACGAGGCCCGATATTCTTCACGCAGTTAGATTGGTTAGTCGCTACATGGAATCTCTAACAACCACCCATTTTAAAGTCACAAAGAGAATTTTTCGCTATCTGAAAGGTACAATTGACTTTGGCTTGTTCTATTCAGTTTCTAATGATTACAAGCTTGTTGGATATAGCGACAGTGATTGGGGTGGAGACATAGATAATCGAATGAGCACTACTAGATTTGTATTTTTTATGAGAGATACTCTTTCACATGGATGTCAAAAAAACAACCGATTGTCACATTATCCACTTGTGAAGCGGAATATGTTGTTGCTACCTCATGTGTTTGTCATGCAATTTGGCATAGAAATCTATTGAATGAGATAGGTTTGATACAAGAAGAGTCTACCAAGGTTTGTGTAGATAACAAGTCAGCCATTGCCTTAGCAAAGAATCTAGTATTCCATGATCGAAGCAAGCACATCGATATTTGCTACCACTATATAAGGGAGTGTGTTGCAAGAAACGATGTGGAAGTTGAATACGTGAAGTCGCAAGATCAAGTTGACGATATTTTTACCAAGTCATTGACAAGCGAAAACTTCATGAGATTAAGGAGCTTACTAGGAGTCACAAGATCAAGTTTAAGGGGGGTGTTGGATCACAAACTTGATCCATTATGGGAGCCTAAACCCAAACCCAAACTAAATTGATGTCATTGCTTACATCAATTAGATGAAGATGTCATTGTTTACATCAATTTAGTTAGGTGAGAGTTAGGTATTTGTATATTTTAATGGTTTAAATTATTTTATTTGTGTGGTGTAGGATTGTTCATGAGTAGTATAAATACCCTTCCCATTTTAGTTTAAGCATCAAGAAAAATTAAGAGCTTCTAAGTGAGTGAAGAAGCAAAGTCTTATAAGAGTGAGTTGTAGTATCTTGTTTTTGAGTTAGAGTACTCTTGTAATATTTGCTTGAGTTTCAATAAAAGTTGTTTATGTGAGTGTTTCATTTTCAACAAAAAGGTCTACTAATTTAGACACACGGTGTTTCGGTATTTTCACCATAACATGATTTCCATGAAGAAACTTAATCTGGTTTTTGGCAATAAAGATTAAAGATGAACATTTTGTATAAGTTTTTACAGTTTCAATCGTATCGAAAGAAAACAGCTTCAGAAACATTTCTAATGGCTTTAGAATTATTTTTTAAGCACATTTTCTACATGTTCATGAGTTTTTATACAAATTATTCTGATCAACTCACTCGATCTCGAAAGCCGAAGCTAATTAATCTGAGGTCCGCTGCCTCCTCCTGACCCTGGCCTTTTAGGAGCGAAGAGAGCAGCAATCACCGGAACTCCCCGTATAATTCAAACAACAAAAACTTGCATCTCATGGATACCACTCAGTGCCCCTCAAATATAAAGCTCAATTATTGACTTGCAGTCGCGGTGGTGGAAGCAGGATCAGCTGCTGGGTCTGAATAATCCGTTGTTGGAGAAGCATGTCCATTATCATCGTCTTCTTCCCTGGGACGTGAAAGTGGAACCCAGTTTCGAGTGAGAAGAGCCCTTATAACTTCATGCGCTTGCGATGTTGTTGATGAAGTATCTCCCATTGTTTTTCTGTTTCTGAATAAGCTTCCCGGTACTGTTGATGAAGTAAATTTTAGGTTTTAAAACCTTAATTTAGCAATAAATAAACGTATCCAGGATGAGGAATCTCTGTATTTGGAACACGAATATTATTATTTACGTTTTTCATTTGCTTTAATTTTGATGTGTGGGAAAGATCATGAATTAATTACCTCTCATCTGGCAGCAGTAGGAGTAGGTACCAAACTTTACTACCTCGTACAGCGTTTTTAGTCCAACACATTTATTTTTCTACTTTCATCTAAAATATGTTTTAGTTTAGTTTAACATAAAATCATTAATTAATTACCTATCCCTTCTATTCCTTTTTATTCGATATTTTCTCATTTAAAAATAGAAAAAATATATATACTCGTAAAATCGTTTTCATTATTACTAAACTAAATTAAAAACTATATTATATACTGATATAAGTTTAATTTCATAAAATGTCATGAATGATAATTACAATTAATATAGGTTTTGTCATGAATGACAGACAGTTTCATAAAACATAATCTCCTCTTCTTCCTATCTGTTTCTAAGGAATGCATCAATCCATACACCAATTCATAAAACTAGAATACGATAGTGGCATTTACTAATCCATTACTCGTAACATAAAACAAAACACAGAATCAGTTCAATGGGGGCAGAGGAGAAAGGCTATGGAAAAACAGCGCAGGGCACTGCCATGCAAGTACACAACCGGATGTATCCAACACTTCCAACAAAAGGGTACATATAATTTTATAACCCACAAATGGATTCTTTTCTTGATTGCACTCTCTTGAAACCCCCACGGCATTTGTGGTTCATTGCTGCCTTTCCTGGCAGCAGCTTTGGGGAAAACCATGCATCGTCGTCTCTTTGATTTTGATCGAACATTAATTTGGGTTGACTTTCTTTTATTCAAAGAGGATGGTAAGGCACATAGCCCAACATGCTCGTTACATTGGTTACGACATCGTTGCACTTTGTCAGAAGGTTTAGCATCTGCTGTGAAATATCCATGCTAGTGTTACTAGCTGGTGGGGTGGTGGTTTGTGTATTAAGATTGTGAGCATTTCTGGGAGCCACTTCGGAGGGGGCTTTCTCGAATTGAGAAATGGGGGGGTTAACAGGAAATGAAGACAAAGATTGAGGAATGACCTTTTGAAAGTTCTTAGTATTAAATTCCATTGCAACAGAAGGTGCAGCAGTATCGGCAAAACCAGGATTGTTGTTGAAGTTGTGTCTATTACCAACCAACAATTGATCCCTACTAGTTTCTTCCCCACCCAACATGAATTTTACACGGGCTGCACCCCTACCGCCGTTACTGCCAGTTGCCTGCCCCGCCTCTTCACTTGTTGGCTTCTTCAGGCAGGACTTCAGCTGGACTGTTGGTTGCAGAATAGGCTGCTGTGCAAGCACCGACGCTGATCGTTCAACTACAGGATCCTTGACTGGTATGGTTTCACCAGTAGTGTCTCCTCGTCCCTTATCAGAATCTAGTGCTTCTGCTGTAGGAGCTTCCACACTTCGAAGATGGTATCTCACATTCACATTGCCAAATAGGGAATTAGTTCCATTAGCATATCTATAAGCTGCCTGTGCATCTATCTTGTGTCTGAACACAACACGACACGTTGACGACTTATAAAACACACGAATTGCTGACTGATCTAACGAGCCAAAGCGTCCAAATCTTGCCTTTAGTTGTGCAACTGATGGAAGTGATACTTCAGGAGGAAACTTCATAACCAGCATTGTAGGCTCAACAGCCCTAGGTGGAAGCTCCATTTTCCTTGCAGAATCTGGTTTTTTGAGTGGTCTTCCTGGGGGACCTGCAGCTGGCTTTTCTTTAACTTCAACTTTTGGAGCTTCCGAAGTTCTCAGATTGCCCTTCTTCTCTGCAGCTAATGATTTCAACTTAGTAATCTTTTTCAACCTCTTTGCAGCAATTTCTTCTTGACGATCAGATGGGGGACGCTTCAGTCCAGCTTTTGTCGGATCATCAGGTCCTGCAAGGGGTCTTGCTGGTTTTGGAGTTGAGTCTCTAACATTCTCCTTGCCATAGTTGTCAGAGGTTCCAAGCAAAGGAGGTTTACCAGAAAGGGGTTCACCAGGATCTGTCTCAGATGGTGGCGACACAACCAAGCTTTTCTGATAAACAAGTGATCGGTAACGTAAAAAGAACCTCTTAACAATTGTTGGGTTATTCCTTTCCACGCCATGAAAGGGATCAAGAGCCAAAGCATGTAAATCGCTTAGTAGTTGTGCAAGTTCAAGCCCAGAATTTCCCATACCAACGGTGGTGGAAGCCCCAACAGAATTGAGTGAGAGATGTGTAGGATCAACATCTTTCTTCTGCTGGTTCACCTGAGACTTGTTTCTAGGACCCAAACCAATGTGGGCAGATTTAGCCCCACCTTTTCCAAGGAGAGAAGGCTTCTTTGGTTTATCAGAGTTTGTTTTTGATCCAGCTTCGTTCTTCTTTTTCTTCTTCTTTTTCTCCACCAAAGCAGAGTTCTCAGCACCTATATCTGCTGAAGTTCGTTTTTTCACTTTCTTCAACCCACCCTCAGCACTCATACCACCAGAGCGCTTATATCAACCAAGGATGCCCACCAGTGAGACCATCTTGATTCGTTCTTCTTTTTCTTCTTCTTTTTCTCCACCAAAGCAGAGTTCTCAGCACCTATATCTGCTGAAGTTCGTTTTTTCACTTTCTTCAACCCACCCTCAGCACTCATACCACCAGAGCGCTTTATATCAACCAAAGGATGCCCACCAGTGAGACCATCTTGAATTTGATCTAATCCCTGGCCTCCTTCCAGTTTTGCAGTAGAATCCATATCATGTTTCTTAACTCCATCGTATGGGGACAATTTTCCACCCTCAGGTTTCAGGTCAAATATAACATCACCTTCGCGCTGAGAAGATGGCAGCCCACCATCAATTTTATTCAAAAATGGCTTTACATCTTCAGCAACAGCATTGGCTGATGAAATCTGGTTTACAGATGCAACTGCACTTCTGGATAAATCTCCACTTGAACTTACACCATCCCTGCTCACAACAACAGTATGCTCTTGTTGTACAGGAATTTGAGAAACTGGAGCCCTCTTCTGTAGGACATAATCCCCAGCCCCAAATGTTGGTGATCCCTCTCTGTAAGTAGATTGCATTGTAGAACTAGCTGCTTCGTCTCTTCGTTTGAATAAGTATCTGTCTTTCTTTGAATGGTCCTTAACTTTTATGGGTTTTGTAGAACTCTTTCCACCACCCAATGCTTCTGCAATCACCATTGGCCCACTCAAAGGAGCTGCAAAAGAACAGAGAAATGACAATGTTAATGCCCAAACCAGTAACCAAGAGGAATGCATGTAAATATTATCTCAGGATATCAAAGAGGCAGCAAGGAACGAGGACTTCTTCTATCCTTTCAGTTTTGTGTAATACTCAACAAATATAGTCGATAGATGGATAATCCATAAAGTATTGCAAAACTTTATACACAACCTTTTTGTCACTCCTGGGAGTTGTTCATTAATAATAAGGGCATAAAAGAGAGACCCAAACATAAATCAGAAAGCTAAAAATCCAAATATAAGTTGTTGAAGAGCCAAGGCCACTATTGTGTTCTAACATGGCCCTTCCAGTGAAAAACAGTAGTCAGAAACTCGCATCTGACTATAATCATGCATCAGTCAATAAAAAATGCTGTATCTAAAGACATACTACAGAAATCCAAAATATGAATTACGAGCCATGATAAAATGAATGCAATAGAATACCAGTTTTAGCCATGTGAGACTTGTAACTGTTTTGGCCAAAAGTCTCGCGAGAGCAGCGATAATATGTTCAAACAACACATCATTTTGGAATTTAATGTGACACTATAGAAGGCAGAACATATCGCAAAGAACTCCATTAAATCAAAACCCAAAACAGTTTCCCAAAATCAGCAATAAGAGCAAACAAGTACCTCGTGGTGCCTCCTTAGAAGATCGTGCTGGGGCATTAACAGCTTGGTGGGAAGGTCGTGAAGGATGCGCTTCAAAAGCTTGTGCATATGTCTCATCATATTCCTCAAACACAGCCTTACGAAAAGAAGAAACAGTAGCCTTATTCCTCAAAAACTCAATGCTTTGCTGGTCATAAGCTACAGGGGCTGATGCCAATTGTTTCAAAAATGAGAGGGTCTCACTGGGCTTAAAACTATTTCTTGCATTCCTTATCTGATTCACAGAATAAATCCCATTTGGTTCATAATCAGGCACATCAACTGCAAAGTACCCTTGGACATTTGTGGGACGAAAATTAAATGGGTTCCTACATTTACAAGTCAAACCAAGACCATGCCTCCGACTAGCCTCATCGATTGCCTCCTCCACAGCCTTCACAAAAATCCTCGAGTTTGTCTGTTGTGATTTCTCAAAAAAATGATGATCAAAAGGGACAAGCTCAGCCGGATCAAACCATCCATAGCTACTATCCCCAAAGAAAGCAACCAACACATGCCCCTCCCTCCTCGTACGACGTACAGATGGAGATGCAAAGGCTTCATTAAATATATGACCAGGCCACCACGGATGAGATTTCACCTTTCCCCAAACCATATCACCCACTTCAAACCCATAACTCAATGCCCTTGAAGTCCCTCCACCAATTCTATCATTGGCTACATAATCATCAAACTCGGATAACAAGGACTTATAGTCTAAACCAGTACCCTTCTCTGAATTCCCTATTCTATAATTCTCATCATTTGCCATTGCAACTTGTTCATCCACTCGATCATTTACACAAATAATTCTAGATTCGCCACCTATTACCTTACCTACGCTATCAGCATTACTCTCCCTAACCTCAGATATATTGTTCTCTGAAACCCTAAAATCGTGTTCCATTGCAGAAACCCTACCTTCTTCGTTAGAAACTCCCAAGTTCAATCTACTGTCTTCGTTTCGGCTATCGATAGCTTCATCAGTAGAAACACTAGCTTTCTCTTCGATTTTATCCGATCCTTTATCAAACTCATCGCCGTCGCTTATAACAGGTATCATTCTTTCGATAGCTAAAGAAAAATAAATAAGCTAAGTCAAAACCTGTAAAATTCGCGAGCAGAAATAAGATATGTGTAACTGATAAACATACCTTTGTTAGGGAACGATTGCAGAAGGTGATCTTTTTTCTTCCTGGAAAGCGAGCGAAAATTAGGGAGGAGATAATTTTTTAGGATAATAATTATAATAGATACAGATGAAACAGTGGGGATGATAAACCACAGAGGAAGAGGTGTATTTGGATGGAAAGAAAATCTGGGGATTTTACGATTTGCCCTTTCTCTGTTGCACAAGTTATGTTTTCCGTCGTCTTCACCTTCTTTTTACTGGGGAGTTTGCGATTGTATATTGGGATTTTATAGGGCAAACCAGCTGTGTACAAATGGATCAGTGCACATCAATCATCATACGCTCCCGATTTCTGTGAGCCACCTGATCAACTGACACGGATATGTTGAAAACGTGTGAACCAATGATATTTTAGTTTAAACATTGTGTAATACATTTGCTGTAAATGGTAATCGGGATTCTCATGGGATGAGAATCTCACATTCCCATATTTGGTTGGCCGGGAATCTCATTCCTGGTAATGTTTTATTACCAATAGTAAATTTTTTGGGGTATATTACTGGGAATGTCATTACCTCCCTTTCCTTAGGTATTGTAACATTACCGGTGTTTTGGACTAAAATGCCCTTAAATTTTTTTTTCTATCAATATTTCTGTCATTGAATAATAAAAATTCTACGAAGGTTAAATTACAAATTTATCCTTAAATTATTTTAGATTTACAAAAAAAAATCTATAATTAAATTTTTATATGAAGTTCAAGGGTTAAAAAAAATTTACCCTTTCATTAAATCTTTTTTATATTTTTAATTTTGTAAAAAAAATTATATAAATATTATGAATTTAATTTTTTAAAGAAAATATATAAATATTTTACAATTTGTAATATTATACAAATATATAATAAGGACAATTTGGTCAAATATACATTCTAATAATCTTTTATTCCTTTAACCAAACAAGGTAATCTTACATTCCTGCTAAACCAACCAAACACAAAATACAACATTCCCAGTAATCCTATTCCCTAGTAATCTTTTATTCTCACTGGTAATCTTACATTCCGTGAACCAAACGCACCCTTATGGGAATAGAATCTATATTCCCCCTTTTGGTTGGCCGGGAATGACATTTCCGGTAATCTTATATTACCAATAGTAGATCTTTTGGGGTATATTACCGAGAATCTCATTACCTCGCTTTCCTTAGATATTGTTGGATTATTGTAATTTTGGACTAAAATGCCCTTAATTTTTTTTCTTTCAAAAATATTCTTATTTTTTCATTAAATAATAAAAATTCTACGAAAGTTAAATTATAAATTTATCCTTAAAATATTTTAGATTTACAAAAAAAAATCTATAATTAAAATTTTATATGAAGTTCAGGAGTAAAATAAAATTTTATCCTTTCATTAAACCTTTTTATATTTTCAATATTGTAAAAAAAATTATATAAATTTTATGAATTTAAAATTTTTAAAGAAAATATATAAATATTTTCCAACTTGTTAAAAAATATATATATATATAATAAGGACAATTTGGTTAAATATATATTCCAATAATCTTTTATTTCTTTAATCAAACACGGTAATCTTACATTCCTGCTAAACTAACCAAACACAAAATACAACATTCTCAGTAATTTTATTCCCTAGTAATCTTTTATTCTCACTGGTAATCTTACATTCCGTGAATCAAACGCACCCTTAAGATTATACTTTGTAGGTTTAAATTAAAGTGAGTATTGTTCTTCCTTAAAGTATTGGATTCAAGTAGTTGCGCCCTCAAAATATGTATAATTTGTCAATGATAAAAAAAAATTATGATCAAATATTATCTTATAATAACTCGATGTTCAAAAAAGTTTAAGGTAAATTTTACTAGATATCACCGAATTTTAAACGTTATGCTACTGAACTTTCAATTTATAAATTATAGTACTGAAATTTGATTTTAGTTCTAATTATATCTTTAGGTCGTTAAATCGTTAATAATCATATCAAAACAATATCATTTTGGTAAGATATCTATGTCAACAACCGTCAGTTACATCGATAATCGTCAATCATGTCAACAGTCATCAATCTGCCATCATATTGTTAATGATTTGATAATTTTGTGTATAATTGAAACAAAAATAAAAATTCAATATTATATTTGATATAATTAAAAAATCAATAATATAAATGATACAACATATAAGTAAGTTGTATCTAATATAATTTATTCAAAATTTATTATCACTTCACTACTGTTGTGTTTTATATTGATCCTCACTTTGCTTTATTACAATAATAAATTTTGAATGTCACTCGCGCCTTCATAGACATTCGATATATTTATAATTGTTCCACTCAATCTAACCTCATTTGATATTTAATAGTTATTTCAAAATATTTCGGGTGTGTATTAAACGCAGGGAAGAAAGGATAAAATAATAAATCTAAATACCATTACTAATATTAATTAGGGTAATAAAATATTACAATTAATTTATATTTTGATACGTTTATTGATGTATAAAATATAAAAATTTTAATTATTTTAATTCGAGTGAAAATCACATCTTTAACATAATATAATTTAATAAATTTTAGACCAATTTATTAACTCGTTTAATCTTAATATATTTGACCGTTGATTTTAATTTTGACAGACACTAATTTTTCTGTTGATCTCTGTCGCAACCGTCTTTCGATTGGGCCCGGAATTGGGCTTCGACTTGAAATAAGTGAATTAGAGTCGCCACCGACCACTTTAAAATAAATTTAGGTGGATCGGACACCATCTTACATGATCTGCGTTTTACCAGAAACGTGTCGGGTTCGGGAGTCGGTTACGGTCAAGGAAGGATTAGCACCCTTGAACCGCCCTTTCGGTACCAGTTAATTTGTCGGTTGTCTTTAATTGCAAAAATTAAGAATTTAAATTTAAATTTAAAAATTCGATTTGAATTGCTTACCTTTGATTGGTTGGATTTTCTCTAAAAAGGTAAAAATGTTAGATAACAAATAATAAATAAATTAATAAATAAATAAATAAAATAAAGTAAAAAAATCAAAAAAAATGAAAATGAAAATGAAAATAGATAAAAAAAAAATATAAAAAATATTAAAATGAAAATAATAAAAAATAAAGATAAGCGAAATTAAGTAAAAAAAATAAAATAAAAGAATAAAAATAATAAAAAAATAAAAAAAACAAGATAGAAAATAAAAAAATAATAATAAAAAGGTTAAATTTAGAAAAAGATATACAAAAAATGATTTACATTAGTGACCAAAATAAAACACGCATAAAATAATATCAAAATTAAAAATACTAACTCAATGACCAAAATGCAAATTATCAAACATATGTGCATGATTCGAAAAGTCATAAAACATGAACTAGAAGATACTTAGGACCAAAACGAAATAAATATAAAATCATATGCTTAAAATAAAGAGAATGATTTCATGATCTAAATAAGGAACATACACAATTGAAAGGGCTATATGCACGAATATCCCTTTTTACAAATACCCATGCGCAGTAACCCCTTCTTAAAATTGTCGTTTTGTGTCATGGTCCCACTGCCTGTAGCTCTTCCAATAATTTCACAGTTAAGCATTCTTTAGGATCCAGTCTCTTCTGGTTCTGATGCTTCCCCACTTTGGCACCATGTCTCGATTTCAACCACATCACTCTAAGCTGGGTATTTGTATATTTCTATGTGCGTTCGTGCGGTCACCCATATAAGATGCAATTTTCTCATGGTGGGGGTCGTAGCAAACATCTGAAGGAGAAAGGTCGGAATTCTTTCAAAGTTTCGTTTTTTTTTCTTCTTTTTTCCTTTTCGTATCTTCCCGATTTTTGTGTGTGGCTTTTCTCTTGTTCCTCCAACTTATTTTTCCGAATCTTCTCTGATTATTTCACTCTGTTCGAGACCCCTGAGTTAAATCCCAAATTTTTGGGGTCCCAAATTTTTTGGGATTTAGGCTTTGGTGATAGGTTGTTTGTAGGTGACGAAAACCACGTTCGTTGGTGTCGAGAATCACGGCCGTGGGTTGCTATTGTGGCGAGGAGTCTGGTTCGGGTCTGTTCCAGCGAACCAGTTCAGGTCTCATCCAGGTCAGACGAAATTTCGTGTCTACAGCTGCCCCTCTTTGCACATTTTTGTGTAACGAAAATAGGGCAAAGATTAAAAGACACAAATTTCGTATGCCATGAATGTCTCATAGAGTTGAAATCCGATGCTATAACTTGTTTGTCAATTCGGTCTGAATGACTCTCTTGCCGTGAGGTTAAGTCGAACTGAAAAATTTTGAGTACGATATCCTTCATCGTGAAGTTGAAATCGAGCTCAAAGCATTGGGAAGTAGCTCCTAGATTGTCTTCTAGCCCAATATACTTTGTTGTTAAGCTGAAATTTAACCTGAATGAAACAGGTTTTTCATCGTTGTGTCACAGATAACTCATTCGTCGTGAAGTTGACTTCATATTTTGGGTACGATATCCTTCGTTATGAAGTCGAAATCGTAGGTGAACGGAAAATGGCTCTTTGTTGCCAATCATAGTCAACTTCGGTCTTCTTCTCTGGCTAAAGACCTTTGTTTAAAATTCGACTGGAAAATAATTCTTTGATTCCACCCTATGGTTGATAGGCCTCGAGCTGAATGAAATTGAACTCGAAAGGTCTTCGTTGACAGATAGCTTTTCTTGACTTAAGCTATGCTGCTTGAAAATGGTTGTTTGTCACTAAGGTACGGCTAACCCAGATCTTCTTCTCGATTTGAAAACTTCGATTGCAGCCGGACAGTAGTGTGATTGAGGCGTCATCGCTGATTGGAATCGAACTCGACAATTTTATTGACATATAGCCCTTTTTCCTTGAGCTATTTTGTAAGCTTGATTTGCCTCTAAGTTGAATATAATCGAACTCAAAGGTCTTTAGCAGATAGCCCTTCTCGACTTAAGCTATGCTGCAAATGATGTGCCTGGGAGCTGAGCGTAGTCGAACTCGAAGGTCTTTTGTTGGCAGACACTCCTTCTTTGAGTTGGATATCCCTCGTCGTAAAGTTGAAATCCAATCTAGAGATTGATGCTGCTTGTGTGCACGATTCCCTTCATCATGAAGTTGAAACTGCGGGTGGCCCCTTCGTCGTTAAGCTGAGCTTGGAATTGGATATCCTTCGTCGTGAAGTTGAAATCCAAGTAAGTTGAATTGTTCCAAGTCCAATATCTTCCGCCGTGAAGTTGAAATTG